AACTCGGAATGACGTCAGCCAAGGCCAAATCGTGTATTATTAAAAAGGAATGTAATTTTTATTTGAAGATAGGGAAGGCCATTTGTTCTGACTTGCTTCTCAATGCATTCTTAGCTCCATTCCCACTAATCGTTTTCCGATGTAAGCAATTTTTCTTTTTGAAATTCACCAGGAAGATCATTTGTACCTAGTAAACGGATAAAAAAAGGTGCGCTCTTCTTTTGAGATACGCCATGCATACAACCTCCGCTCAGAATCATATTCCTTTTTGAATGTGTGTGCGATATGTCTCTGTCCTATCCTATGAAATGCTTATGCTAGCCGATGCTGAACTCACCAGGAAAGGCATTCAACTTCCCATGGAACTTTGAATTGAGACCCAGATATATCGATAGAGCTTCAAACGCTGATTACAAATATGGAAACTAAAACTGCAAAATGAACCTGCCAAGGAAGTTGTGAGCAGTCAAAGTTGGCTGGAAATAAAAGCACACATGAACCCAGCTAGCGTCCGGGCTTTCAGAATCGCCGTGGAGCAGTGGTGGTGCTCTCGACCCTTGCACTTTGAACGGGAACAGAACTCGTGACCAACCGGCTGGAGAGCGAGAGCACTACCACTACTCCACGGCGACTCTGAAAGCCCGGAAGCTAGCACGGTTCATATGTAATGCTTTACTTCCAGCCAACTTTGACTGCTCACAACTTCCTTGGCAGGTTCATTTTGCAGTTTTAGTTTCCATATTTGTAATCAGCGTTTGAAGCTCTATCGATATATCTGGGTCTCAATTCAAAGTTCCATGGGAAGTTGAATGCCTTTCCTGTCAAGAGCTTATGCCTTCGCAAAACAGCAACTCATCAGCTGATTCAATCCCCGGACCGTGTGTGCGGTACTGGCGCCTATTACCATCTCGCTGCACATAATTGTTTGTCTTCCTTTCTTGGTAAGGGGAATTCCATTTAAAACCGATTCGCCAATTCTTTCATACTTTTTGGAATTGATTACTCAAAAAACCATCTACAAACTCACCAGATCAGCGAAAATCCTTGGAATATAGCGGCAATGAAGGTGAATAGCGTACTTTGCAGCTGAAATTTACATCATTTATTACGAATCCACCCGCTGATAATGCGCTAACAGCTGATATTCATTTGGAAGTGTAAAATAAGCGAATTTTCTCCGTCGCCTCGAGGATCAAAAAATAATAAAAGGTTCTTTTTTGTGCATGTACCCCATACTCAAATGTTAACTACCGCTGAACTCGTGTACTCCGCAACCTTTATGAACCTTTACGTGCCACGACGACTTTCTTCCGCTCACAACTAGCGGCGATCTTCCGGTCGTTGCGCCCAGCAACCTCCAATTACTTGAATTTATTGCAGCCCCTATGAATACGCTCCAAATCGTCAACGGCTTAACGGAAGTCTCATCCATCCAAACTGATGAGTCCAGTGGGAAGATTTCGGAGAGTTCTGGCAGCAAGAGTTAAGTGAGAACGGATATTACAGCCGACTGGAACATTTAATTGCCAATAAACTGAGGGTGGGCTTATCAAAGTGATGGCGTCGTCCTCCCTCACACTGAAAGAAATTCAGCTATTCACTTTGGTTCAATGTAGATAAGTGAACTAATAATGTCATGAAGTTTTTCCTAGCCTGCCTTATCCGGCAAATCTTGTTCCGCCTAACCCATTTGTGCAATTGTTGTCTAGTCGTGAGGCCTGATGTTCCTGCCTTGAATTTTGCATATTTCTTTGCCGATTCCTTCTCCTCCTCTTCCAGTAGAATGAAGAATCAGCAATGGAATCCACAAAGCTTAAGGCAGCTCAGTCATTCGTGGTTTACAATCAGCGCGGCTAATGGATGAGACATCACGATGAACATTCTTTCATTTCACTCTCCAACTCGAATTAATCCACCTCCCCCATGACATACATAATCACCACACGACGATGAGCAGCCGCATTCCGTTCCATGTGATAGGAGCAGAAACTCTCCCAGCAGCGCCAGTTGTGCTGCATCGACAATGGGCGGAGCTTGACGAATCGTGGTCCCACGGTTCACATCCTTGCCAGCCGGCCTGCCCGTTGTCAATTCACACTCGTTTTATGCCGTTTGTTGGTTTCGTCTAGGAACTTTGTTCACGAAGCAACTATCAACTCTGTCCTTCGGACATTCATCACGACAATTATTCTTAGTACCAATAAAGCCCGCAAATCTTATTGTCTGTGATGATCCTATTCTCTGTTCGCTGCCAATTCAATTAAAGAAGCGAGACCGAAGCGGGCGTAGACATACGTTGCAAACCACCATATAGATGACGAGAGAGGAAAACGTTATTTTGAGAATACAGCATGCTGCCTCCCGTTGCCATGAGAAAGAGGGGCGTATGAAGCGTCTGTGTCCTCAAACAATATTTCTCTCTGTTCTATGCTGAGATTCAAATGTCTGTCAACGCCTTTCCTTGAAGATATCAGAAATGCAGGAGCCACGGAGCTCCTGCATTTTTGATATCTTACATTTTAGTGATTGATTTTGTTGTGTGTGTCTTACAAGCCGTTCAAAACGAAACATGTTCGCCTGCTTTCCATGCCAGCCGCACTTGTTAACCCATGGATTGTATTTCAGTAGGTATGTCGTCAGATCCCAGGCGCGTTTCTCTGTTCAATCGATGGCAACAGAAACAAACAGATGTACCAACTGGTTTGGAAGGTATCAATGAGGAGGAACTGATCGAATACAAAGAAGCTTTCCGACTTTTCGATAAGGTACGCTACAACGCGGGTATCGGGTTCTATTTGCTTCGGGATCGACAAGGCCAAAGGCGTTCCACAAAATAAATGGCCACTTTTTCGATCCTGGTTGATTTATCACTTGAAAATGATGCTTGCTCGCACCACATTAAGAAGCCTCTGAGCTGAGTCGCCACTTCAATGCAAAAAGAACTAAGGAAGGCTTTGACTATCTAGTATAGAAAGATGAGTTTTCAGGACGGCAACGGTTCCATCTCGTCGAAAGAATTGGGAGTCGCAATGAGATCGCTTGGCCAAAATCCGACAGAACAAGAATTACTCGATATGGTGAACGAAGTAGACATCGATGGTAGCGGTACTATAGATTTCCCAGAATTTTGTCAAATGATGAAAAGAATGAACAAGGTCAGTTCAGTGTACTTCTCACAACTTCACAATTTTACTAGTTGTCACGAGATCACCGGGTCCTCATGACCTTTCAAATTGACAAATTCTCTTTTCAAGTTGACAAGACGTGGTCAACTCTCCCAGCTGCTCCAATGAATGCTAATCCTTTTCTCTTATCCTTTCTATGCGCAACACATCAAGAATTCCGTAGTGTTTATCATTTTTACGCATCAAACATCATCATTAAAACATTGTTTGTGTGCTCGGTTGGGAAAACAGCCCTTAATTTTGATGTCACATGGAATGACTCCAAAAACAAACCCACTAGAGGACGGACTCATTTAGTAGAGAGATCCATGAAACAGGGGGTGGCAGCCGCCCGACGAGAGTCTGCCGTTTTCAGTGGCACCACAAAGCGCTAAATCGCCATTATTGGTGCCAGCAGCTGCGAAAGACTACGCTGGCGTCTAAGGAACACTAGTGATAATTGAGTTCAAACGAGATGTGACTAAGTTGTCGACTTCCTTCCATCGGTATACGCTGCTATTTCAGGAAAACGACAGCGAAATGATCCGGGAAGCGTTTCGTGTGTTCGATCGTGACGGCAATGGATACATCACAGCTGAGGAGTTCCGCTATTTCATGACGCACATGGGCGAACAATTCAGTGATCAAGAAGTTGACGAAATAATCGCCGAAGTTGACATTGACGGTGATGGACAGGTGATACATTTACCCCTTCTTTCATTCTTCACATAGACATCCGCCTTTGAGCTTGAGCCTTTTGAATTCTTCTCGCAATTCACAACAGAAAGACATTTCGTACTTTCACAGCGCTCAGCGCAGCTGTTGATGACATGCCGTGAAAGCTATCCGTTCAGCTATCCGTTCTGACCTTCGAGCTGTTTCCCATTGAAAACCTAGACGATCACCCCATCCGTTGTCAATAATGTATTGAACGACAGGCTGTGTATCATGACTTTACGTCACTGATACCGCTTGTCAAACAGCTATCTGATGAAACCAAGAGGTTCTTGTTTGCAAGCAAAATCACCAGATGGTGTTCCAATGACACATTAACTATGGGAAGGTTTTCTTTCTAAGCACATGTCAAAGATGACAAACTAAATTCCGTGGTTAGTTCACATCCAAGCAGAACTACATATCCGAAAGCTCTGGGGACCTGCGACTCCAATCGTTTGGAGCGGGTGGGATGGACTGATGGAGAGACAAAGGGAATCGTTACGAAGAGCGTGTCATCTCCCTGGGGATTTCTTTCTCGGCCGTCGATTTAATTTAACCTCACAATTGATGTGTTCTCATCAACAACCTCAGAGGGCGTTCTTTATTTTCGTCCAGAATAGCCATCGACCACTGCCATGGGCAAAACTTGTCAGTGAACTTTACGGCTCACATGGTTGGAGCAAGACGTTGCTATGACACCATTCACTTCCCAGCACATGACGGCGAAACCTCTTCACATGCTGAAGAACAGACCAGAAAAGTCTCATATCATTACTTTCTGCTATTTTCCCATAACTTTCACTTTAATTGAACTTATACTGAAGCATGAAAATTAATTAATGGAACTCGTCCATGAGAGCCAGCCAGCTAGTTAGCCGGGGGAAACAACAACATCACCACAGCTGCCGATGCTGCTGCTGCACCACTCGATTGACGTCTTGATGATTTCAGATTGACTACGAGGAATTCGTGAAGATGATGACGATGCCGTGAGGACAAACTGTCGTGCACGATCCGTCTACAGAATCTCAGCTTTGACTTCTTCACATTCAGTGCACAGAAGTCAACTCATTTCGCGGGTTCTTGCATACATTCTTGTTTGCACGCAAGTTGTACTGCTTCGATTTTTTCGTGTCAGGTGTATGAAAATTCTTATATTTAAGCGGGCGTCTCAAGGTTACATGAATATTTCTAGTTCTGTTTTCTGTGTTGATTTTTTTTTCTTTGAAAAACTACAGATCTGTTAAAGTACTTCAACACATAAAAACCCTTTAAATAGACTCCCCAGAGACTGTGGAAGTACTCCACCAATTGCACATTCAAATACAAATTGCGGACGTTTGTCCTCAAATCCGTTGACCTTTGTTCGCATCACTTGTCCTTCCCGTATGTTCAGCATGACAATTGGGGGCTGAAACTAGAGTTCCGGGGCCGGGGGAGGGGGGGCCAGCCACTGCGCCTCTCTAGTACTTAAATAATGAGCTGCCTTGCTTGCGGTAATCGCAACTCACTTAAAAATATACTTCTCAAAGCACCTGGTGTATGTGGAGATACTATCTAAGGTGTCTGTCACATTTTGGCCAGCGGATTGGAGTGGTCCAGGAGTGGTCCATAATCCAGGAAATTGAACCTCTTTGCTGAGCCCAGGGTTGTAGAGCCCCTGGAAGAATGACCTGATGCCAAAATTGCATGGGATGTAAGCAGGGATTTGTGGGATGTAGGACACACACTACTCTTTATGGAATGAGCCGTTTACCTATTACCTTACCTTTAGTGTTAGAGAGCTCGAGGAATACTGTCTAGTACTACCGATAAGATAACAGGTAGTGCCCCCCAAACTCCATTTTAACTCTGGATTGGAGTGTAATAAGTTGGAAATAGAGAAATTCCTCTCAAAACTGGAGGAATATCATTGATGCGGCAAAGATTGAAGATCTTCCCATTTCTTATAGTGCAGCTTATAACTAGTAACGCCTGGAAGTACAGCTGGCTGCTTTTGAAAGAGCAAGCCGGGGATAAGCATTCTATTCTCAGCGCACTTTCAGAAAAGCGTGAATCCACAGCATCCATAAAAACACTCCATTGCGTCGTTCCGGTCATGTCCCTTCCATTTCTTTGATTGGAGCCGTTCCGACGAGATAAGTGGATTAACAACAAGAGATGGTAGGTAAATCACTCTCGAATAAGCCAGGCATTCGACTCCTACTCATAATTCAGAAACATGGAAATTCCTTCAGGGCATTTATACTTTGTTGAAAGCGAGCTGTTGCCCATTTATGAAATTACCTCTTGAAACATGCTTATACCATTGACCTGACTCCTAACGAATAAAGCACGGGATAATGGCTCGAGCAAGACTCGATGGTGTTCACCTTTCGTCTCTAATGAAGCGTCACCTTTACCATAACCTTCTCAAGATAATCCGCTCGCGCCGTGATAAACAGACCGTGTTATTTAACATCAATTAGGCCATTGTGATGGCCACCTTTTCATGGCGGAGTTGTTTGCCATCACAAAAAACTGTCTATCGCTTTCATCTTGAAGTCTTCTATTCTCCCCCATACTTGGTGGGACCAACGACAATCACTTGCATAGTCTCAGTATGAAAAAAGCTATCACTGGCCTTTAGGTAAAGTAAAAATGAACAAACCCATAGTGAAGAGTAGAGGGTGGCAAACAGGGCTGACATATAGCACACTGTAACCAGACGTCGTTGCGGAGACAACAAATGCTGCAGGTAAGCTGATGGTCCCCATAGAAAGGCGAAACTGAAACAAAATTATCTACATGGATGGAAATGTTCAGATCTACTCTACCACTCTGCAAAGAGGAAAAACCATTTATCTGCCCCCCCCCCCCGCTACCTCCCACCAGCTGCAATGCGGTCTCCGTTTCTCAACAATTACGAACCACTTCGATCACTGAGTGGCTTCACT